TTGAGTTGCTTAAGGCCTCATTTGTAGACACAAGAAGAAATAAAATCTGTAATTAAATCTGTTCCAGCAGCAGATTTCAGTTTCAGTTTTGCTGCTATTTAACCAAAAAATTCAAGCAACATTTATAAACTGCCATTGTTCAGAGAATTCCTTTCAGTGAAGTAACACCTCCATAATTCAAAGCTATCTGATAGCTGGCCTTTGAAATTACAGCTGAATACAGACTCAATTCTAAAGGTGTGGCTTGTACAAAACTGTACTTTTTAGTGTCAGTTTAGCAGTGTCAGTCCACAGGCTGTGCACACAGAGTAGCAGGTACAGAACAAAGTTATGCTTAAAGCTATTATGTAATAGAACAGTTGATAGAAAAACAAAACCAAAACCTCCTTTGCTGGCACATATTTCCCCATTCAGCATACATCCTTGTAGAAACAAATTAAAACAAGTATCTACTACGTGTAGATTTATTCCTTGAGTTTCAGTCTGCTCTGTTTATGTAGACAAATGGTACCGATACCGCAGTTTTATGGAGATACCTCCACAGCAAGTATCAGACTTGCAGTAGGAAACAAGGAAAAATTGTAGCACATTATTCTGGGGTGAAGTCCACCCATATCTTTACCACAAATATGAATTTATTAATTGTAGCATAATTCTGCTCTACATTTTTTAAGCACTTTGGATCAGGTATTTCATCATCAGATGATTGTTTTCCCAAACCACAGTTCTTATTGGGAATTTCACCTATAGGAAATGTTGTGAACAGGAGCTGCAGCAAACTGTCTCATAAAGACTCTCTATCACTTCTTATTTTTATTACTATCCTCTGGAACTGTTCTTTCCCTCTGTCTCCATTTTATGCTGATTTTTTGTTTCCGATTCTTTACGTTCATTGTACACTTTGAAAAATACTTGGAAGTAAATTCTTATTTGGATTCTTTTTTCTCTCCTCCAGTGAACAAAACTTTTTTGCAGTGGTCCCTTTGCACCTGAAGAAATTGAAAATATGTATCACCTGAAGAACTTGAACGTATATTTAATTTTTTGCACAACTCCACTTAAATATTTGGCCTTTCCCTATAGGGTAGAATCCCAGTTCCTACCTGTTTTACATCTTAATGCAATGGCTTGGCCAAAAAGTGACCTAATATGCATAAATTCTCATGATTTAAAATGCTGTGGTATTGAAAAGCTAAGCACTCATCCCTGTTAAGACAATAAACTCCCTTCCTCCTGTGTTTCAAGCCTCAGTTCGTATCCTCTGGGCTCCACTGTCCTTCTCACAATCCCACTTCCTGCAGCTCTGTAGCCAAAGGATTAGCATTAAGCTAAGCATTTCAAAGCCTAGTCTGTAAATCTCTAGATCCCGTAACTGCAAAAGCTGATGAGAAAGTTCAATCACTACTCAGCAGCAGTAATACCTAACAGGAATGCCTCCTTGTTTCTGCAATATGTTATTTATTTACATTCTGTCTTTCCAGCTGGAGTTTCAAGAGTATGACATGTCCAAGAACTTAAATTCAACTCAATTTGGAAAGCCTTCCAAAGTCCTTAAGTTTTTTAATTCCCTTAAAACACAGACTTCAAGGAGACAAATTACACAGGCATCCCTAAAAACACTATTCTGAATCTATTTTGTTTTCTTTTTTTCCCTGAAAAAACCTTTTTTAATTACAGCTTTATCATTTTTTTTGCACTTATCCATTGGAACAATTAATAGGCTCACAGTCCTTTCTTGGTCTTTTATATTTCTGTTATTTTCCCTCACAGCTCCTCCTTTTATATTCAGATATTCTTCCCCCTTGATGATGGTGCTGTGAGTGATGTACTTCACATTCCATGCATATTTTCCATTTCTAGTAGGGAGGTGCTGTTTTGATTCAGTTTTCCTGTACACTTGGATCTATGTGAAGGAAGAAAGATGTGAAACAGGCAAGACATTCCTGGAGCTCTCACTGTATCTTAGTGTACCAGTATTAACCCCATCTCCTCCTACTGGATCAGATTTTGAGTGTCTTTAAATATATATTTCAGTAATTAAAAAACTATTAGAGTAGACATTTGAGCTTTTATTAAAATGTTTTAGAAACTGAAATCATACACCTGGTCAAGAAACTCACCAAAGGAAATAAAGAGTTTCATTTGTAATTAAGAAAATTGTAAGTAATGGCTAAAAGTCATTGCTTCTTGAGATGCTCATCTTTCAGAAAGCAGAGCCTGCTGGTGCTGCAGACTCAGGACACAATCTCAGGATTTCACCCTCCAGTCAGACACTCTCAGCACTGACCAGGCACCTCACCTTAGCTAGCTAAGGTTCAAGTCCCACCTCAGTGACTTCCACTGCTCTGTACAAAGGCTACCAATGAGAGCCATTTTAAAATGTCTGTCCAGTAATTCCTTTCTATACAGTGATCTTCAGTATGAACAAATATATAATTATTAACTTATTTATACACATTATATTTAGAAAAAGAATTAAACATGTACCTTTTAATCCAACAAACCATACATTCATTTGGAGCACTATGATGGATGAAGGCTACCGATGACAAAGTTTTCACAGCTGTGAAACAGAAATTAAAACTCAAATACATGAAAGAATTACTTGGAGAAATCTTTATTAAAAATTTTAATAAAATATTCAGTAGTCAAAAAATTATGTGATGCACATGTAGGGTTTTTTAGGCAGGGATGTCAGGCAAGACATGGTGAAATTGATTTATTTTACACTGAAGTTCAAAACATCTTTTTATTTATTACTTTACAAAGACAAATTAGAAAAACTGTACAATGTCAGTATCTTTCAAAGTTGTTAACAAAAATCTAGAAATAGAAATTCACGTTTTTATACCCTATATAAAATAAAAGCAAAGAACTAATTGTGTTGGTGCATTTATGCAAAAATTCCAGAAAACTTTCTTAAGTCAGTAGACTCTTTGATAAACTGCTGGTTCAATTCCAAAATATTTTTTATTTTTTAGAAATTTTTAAAGGAAATATGCACTCACCACTTTTAATACTGGTTGCCCCTATACACCAATCAACAAAGAACAATATGCTGGCTTATGACATTTAAACACAGTATAATTTACAGTACAAGAAAATTACAAATTACCGGAGGATATTTGATGAAATTTCAAGACAAATTGCATAATCTATTAAATGGCCCTCAAAAATGGAAAAAAAAAATTGTTATCTAATATCAAAACAATAATCTACTTAAAAATATCTCATCTTGCTTCTGAAATTCTTTAAAAACATCTGCTGTAAATACTAATTTTGTTCTGATGGAAAGCATTCGATTTGACAGGGATTTCTACATTAATTATCCTTACAGAAACATGTTCTGAACTTGTCCTAGAGACTTCTG